ATGCGAACATAGCCGAAGCAAAGAAGCTGGTGACATTGACCTTGTCAACGAAGGCTCGGTTCACTCAGATTCAGAAGGCCTGGCCCGACCATGCGGTGTTGGAGGACGTCATTCTGTGTTGCAGAGAGATTCTCCAATTCAAGCACACCGAGCCTGTCGCAAAGTTCATTACCAAGGTCGAGAAGCTCCATGCTCTTGTTCATGAATGGCAGCTGGTGGCGAGCAGAGAATATTCGGCAGCTTCTGTGTATGAAGAGATCACTGCATTGATCATCGGCTGGCGACGACTTGAGCTATCAACGTGGGCGAAGCTTCTGGACATCGAGAACGAAAAATGCACCCAGGATGTGAGCTCATGGTGGTTTATCGCTTATGAGGCTATCATTCGGGCTCCCATGCAAATTGCAGAGTCCGGCCAAATGGAGATGAACGAACACGTGCAAGAGGTTACAGCTACATTGGAGCAATTCTTCAACTCCACAACCTTGGGACAGTACACTGAGCGCCTTCGACTTGTCAAGAATTTCCAGTCCTTGCTCTTGCTCTATGTCCAGGATATGCCAGCCTTGAACCAGCTGATTTCTGCTTTGGACAACTTCCTGGTTCGCTACAAGCAATTCGAACCTATTGTGCACAAGCAGCTAGTGGAGAAGCGAACCGCTCTTGAGAAGGATATCAAGGAACAGATCCAACTGGCTAGCTGGAAAGATACCAATATTGTCGCGCTCAAAGAAAGTGCCCGCCGGTCACACACCAAGTTGTTCAAGCTGGTCCGCAAGTACCGGGAAGCCCTGGGACAACCAGCGCAACCGATTCTGGAACAGGACATGCCGGATAACAACGAGGACAACGGTATTTCCCAAAACGATGTTGTCATAGCCTCAAGCGTGTTCCCTGAAGCACTCGCAATGTGCCAGAAGGAAGGAGTCTGGACCGATAGACCCCCGCGATTCAAGAACCCCGATGCCACTGCTAGCAGCATGATGCAACTTTATACCTCGATTCCCGCCGAGTTTGACGTTGCAGAAGATCTTGACGGCTTTGTCAAGTATGTCATCGAGAGTATACAGGAATTCAAGTCGCGGACGCCGAAGACTCTCACCGAGGAGAATACGGATGATGTACAGCACCTCAAGGTCCAGAAGCGCCGCTTTTACGCGGATACCTTGCGACGACTTATGGATATGGGCGTGAAGCGTAGCGCGAGTACCAGCTTGATCGAAACTCAAGCGTCTATTGCACAGATCCTTGCCTCCAGCCCAGCCTTGGAAGCCGACTCTGTGCTATCGCAGCTGGCCAAGAGTTCCGACTTGTACTACCATAGGTTCTTGGACTTGCTTCCTCGCGTTCGTCTGGCAGCACACAACTATGCGGAAGATCTCAGCAATGTCGAAGTATCCAGAAGCTCGGGCTCTATTGAACACTTGTTGTTCCTCGCCCGAAAGCAGAGAGCCTCAATCTCACCAGCGCTTACTGCTCTGACAGAGCTGCAGTCGACACTCCTGAAGGTTTCGAATCTCTGGAATTCTGGCTGCTCTTCTATTTCCAAGGATCACCCACAATTCCCGATTGAGAAAGTCGAGGTAACGAGGGCAGTGGCATGGCTGACACCTGTACTCGGACTGGCTGCCACTGTTATTGGTCTGCACGCAAAGTTCTCTGGAATCGGTTCGAGAAGTATCCTGGACGGCCTGCAGACCTGGAAGGGCACATTTGATCGCCTGAAGACCTCTTTAGACAATCTTCCTCAGCTACCACACGGTGTCTCCTCGCAGCTGTACAGGGATACCGTCCAGCAGGCTTCTTCATCCCTTGAGCAATTGAACAGCAACCTCACAAAATGGGCTGAAGAGCGTCCTGATCTGTCTTTTGTGCTTGGCCAGATAGTCCCTTGGGTAAAGGTCAACGTGATCTCGCCAGACTGTGAACTTGATGAGACCACCGTATCCCTCGACAAGTTTGATGCGGGTCTCGTTGCTGCAGTTGATAAGATCCTTGTCAGCCTCCAGAAATTGAAGGAGATCCCATGCTCGCTTGCCAACCCTGGTTCCTTGGCGCGGAGTGACGAGTTCTTCGTCAAATCCTTGAAGGCCCTTCATATCTCTGGCATCAAATCCTCTCTTGAATCTATCCTTGATCAATTGCAGCACATCCAGGCTGGCTCAGGGCCTGGCATTCCATTTGCGGTCGCACTTGTGGCGAGCTTGCTACCTGTCATGCACAAGTACTTCCATATCAGCAAAGACGTTGTGGATCGTTACTTGGTTGTACACCGGGAGACGTGCAAGATGTCCTACATTCTCACCAAGTGCTTCGCCCAGATCGCTTCCGAAGGCTTTTGCAGTCCCGCAGAAGCATCTACGGAGGAGAGCAAATCCGGCAAGCTCGAGAGTGGCACTGGCTTGGGCGAAGGTGAGGGTGCTGAAGATATCAGCAAAGATGTTGGAGATGACGAGGACCTGTCGGAGCTTGCCCAGGAGCAAAAGGGCGAGTCTACCGAGGACCTTGAAAACTCAGAAGACGCAGTGAACATGGACAATGAGGAAATGCAGGGCGAAGAAGGCGAGCGGAAAGAAGGCGACGAGGAAGACAAGGACAGCGGCGATGAGGAAGAAGAGGGCGACATTGACGAGGAAGTAGGCAGTGTCGATGACCTAGACGCTACGGCAGTTGATGAAAAGATGTGGGATGGTGAGCACGACGACAAGCAGAAGGAGACCGAGACCAATGAAGGCAAGGGTCAGGCTGAGTCTGACGAACAGACGGCGGCGCAGGAGAAGGAGAAAGAAAAGGAGAAGGCCCAAGAAGGCGAGCAGGGTGAGGTGGACGACAATGAGGAGGAAGAAGAAGATGAGGAAGGCGAAGATAAGCCTGACGAAGAAGGCGAGGCCGTTGGACGTGAGGATATGGATGTGACCGATCCTCAGGCGAAGGAAGAAGAAGCCCTGGACCTTCCAGACGAGATGCAACTCGACGGCGAAGAAAAGGGCGAAGAAGAGAATGAGAGTGACGATGGCCTTGACGGCATGGATGATGATCTCCCCCCTCTCGAGGAAAACAATGAGCAGCAAATGGACGGAAAGGATGTTGGCGAGGATGAGGCCATGGAGGAAGGTGCCGAGGAACAAGAGCCCGAGCAGACAGAGGAGGGCATGCCGGACGAAGAGGCAGCCGAGACCAATGAAGGCGAGGGCAATGACGAGGCGGACGAAGCCGGCGAGGAGGCTGAAGAGGAGAAAGAGGACTTCCTGGCCCAGCGCGACGAGAACGAGATGGCTGGAGAAGAAGTGGCTCCCAGCGAAGCAGTCAATGGTGGCCTTGGGGCCGATCAAGACCAAAACCAAGAGAAGGGCTCTTCTGGTAACGCACAGCAGGAGAACGGCTCAACTGATCCTTCCGACCAGAAGGAACAGCAAACCGGTGCAGCCCAAGAGGGTGACGAAAATCAAAGGCATCAGGAAGAGGGTGGTGCGAATGATGCAAACCCAGACGACCCTCAACTGCAGGCCTTCAAGAAGCTGGGTGACGTTCTCGAACAATGGCACCGCCGCCAGAAGGAGATCATGGAGTCCTCCAAACAAGAGGAGGGCGAGACTGAGGAGCCCATGCCCCAGGATGCAGACATGGCCGACGCTGATTTTGAACATCTTCGCGATCAAGACGACGTGGCAGATACCCAAGCACTGGGTCAAGCCAGTGAAGAGCAGGCCAAGGCTCTGGACCAGAACAAGGGAGTCGAGTCGGACACCAAACCCGAAGGCAACGACGTGCTGCCGGACGTCACAGACGACGACCAACAGCAACTTCCAGACAACAAGCTAGAGGACGAGATGCAGCTGGATCAGGGTCTTCCCTCCGAGTCACAGATGGCTGGTGCCATGATTCCTGGCAACACCCACACCCAGGAACGGACCACCGACACCGCCGGCCAGCAAGAAATAAACGAGGAGCTAGATGAAGTTGACGCCCATCTCGCTGCGATCCATCTCTCTTCCAATCTCCCTCCCCTGACTCCCAGGGACGAGGCCCAACGTCTCTGGTCATACTACGAATCAGCCACTACCGACCTCTCCCTCTCCCTGACCGAACAACTCCGCCTTATCCTCGCCCCTACACTGGCCACCAAACTACGCGGCGACTTCCGTACCGGAAAGCGTCTCAACATCAAGCGAATCATCCCCTACATCGCCTCCCAATACAAGCGCGACAAGATCTGGATGCGCCGCTCCATCCCCTCCAAGCGCAACTACCAAATCATGCTCGCCGTCGACGACAGCAAGTCCATGCTCGAAAGCGGCAGCGGTCAACTCGCCTTCGAAACCCTTGCCCTAGTAGCCAAGAGTCTCAGCATGCTCGAAGCTGGCGACCTCTGCGTCCTCGGCTTCGGCAACGAAGACCACGTCCGCGTCGCCCACGAGTTCGGCAAGCCGTTCTCTTCCGAAGCCGGCACCCAAGTCTTCCAGCACTTCAGCTACCAGCAGACTGGCACGAACGTGCGCAAGCTTATCGCCGACTCCATCGCCCTCTTCCGCGAGGCCCGCTGGAAGCAGTCCCCTGGTAGTGGAAACGCGGACCTCTGGCAGCTGGAGCTGATTATCTCTGATGGTATCTGTGAAGACCACGAGACTATTCAGCGTTTGGTGCGCCAGGCGCAGGAGGAGCGCATTATGATTGTGTTCATCATTGTTGATGCTGTCAAGGGTAGCTCGATCTTGGATCTGAGTCAGGCTAGCTTTGAGGATGATGGCAGTGGAGAGATGAAGTTGAGGATGAAGAGATACTTGGAGAATTTCCCGTTCCCTTATTACCTTGTTGTCCGGGATGTGAGGGGGTTACCGGCTGTTTTGGCTACGGCGTTGAAGCAATGGTTTGCTGAGGTGGTGGATGTGTCGTCCTGATTTGATTGATTACTTGTGTAAAAGAAAAGCTAGCATGTTATTGTTATTATTATGGGTTAGATGTATATACGGCTTCGAATGTATTTAGAGAACATTTCAATTATTTTAATCATTTCTTCATCTCCAAATAATAATCGGCAGTTTCAGTATCTTATAGTGCTATATCTATCTTCTGATACTCAATTCCTACCATCAACCAAACTCATTGTTGAAAATCAAACTATGATTAAACTCCATCCATGCAACTCCTCTCCCACCAACAACCACTAAACCCACACTATCCACACACACAATACCCTATGAGAGGGATTACCACCCATACTTCGCTCCCGCCTCCCTCTTATTCCTCCTCCCAGCAGCAAAGCTCTCCTCCAGCGCCTCGCGCTGCGTACTCGCCGCATTAACCAACTGCTGCAGTGTATGCTTACCCGGCGCAATGGCTCTGACGGGGTTATGCTGCTGCGCCGCCAGCTCCGTGTGCGCAAGCTCCTGGTTCGTGACGTACTCTTGGTCCGTGTTGAAGTGCAGGACGCGGGAACTGGCTGCCACGGATTCGGGGGCGTTGCGGCCAAAGAGTTGGCGCCGTTGGGCTTTGGAGAGGTTGAGGTCGTCGGCGATGGTGCTGAGGGTGTTGTCTGATGTTGTTGAGGCGGGTTGATATGTAGATTGCTGTGTGGTGGTGGTGGTGTCTTCGGGGGCGGGGGAGGGGCCGGCGGGGGCAGTATCGAGGGGGGTGTAGACTAGGGGCTCGTAGGTTGTTGCTGATGGTGCTGTCGATGTGGTGGGTGTAGAGTCGTCGCTGGCGGAGAGTGAGAAGAGGCTGATTTTGGGTTTGGGTGGTGCTGGCGCTGCAGCTGTAGGTGTCTCCTGAACAGATGCAGATGCAGATGAAGCTGTCGGCACATCCTCCTTCCTCCGTACAGCCGCAGCAGCGGGCATCAAATCCGAAACGGCTTTCCTCTTCTTCTGCTGCGCCCTCCCCACAGACAACGGCTTGAACATCATCGGGTTGCCCTTCAACTTGACCTCCTCGGGCTTCTTCATCTGCGGCACAGCCTCCTCCTTTTGGTCCTCACTATCCTTCCCGAAATCCAATTCCTTATCTCTCATACTCCCCGCCTTGGGTATCGTCTCATCGTCATCTCCATCTCCTCCTAACGCCCCAAACGCCCGCTCATTCCGCATCTCCGCATCCGCCTCGCGATCGAACCCCGGCGCTGCGCCCGTCTTCAGACTGAATACCTTGCGCGCGGGCGCCTTCTTCTCACTTGCATTGCTGCTTGCGGTGGTAGCTGTTTTCTTCGGCGCCGGTAAGAATGAGTTGAAGCCGGAGAATGCACCGCCTCCGCCGCCTAGTTTGGGTTTCTTGCGCGGGCCATCGGTGTCGTCGTTGTGTTCGGGTTTGATGTCTGGTAATGCGACGCGGATTTTGCGCGGGTTGGTGCGGTCGACGAGGGGTTGGATGGGGGGTTTGTTGTTGGTGTTGGTATTGCTGGTGGTTGCGGTTGTGGAGGTGGTGGGTTTCTTGGGGGCTTGTTGGGGTTGGGGGACGGTGGTTTCGGACTCCGAGTCGGAGGCTTCTGAGTCGGAGTAGGCGACGAGGGCCATGGTTGTGGGTTTGTGGTTGTGATGATGTGGTGGTTTAGAGAGAAAGATGGATGGGTTGGAGCTGCGGCGAAGTGATATTCTCGGGTTGGGGCGAGACTGCGGATGAGTTATGTATGGGATTAGTAAGCTGTGCAGGGTATTGGGATGGTGTGTTCGGTGTAGTAGATATGATGCCACTCTCAACGTGGGTTGAAACTTAATATTATAGGTAGAAGAAGCTATGGGGGCATTAGTCTCTTTAGTGGCTATTTAGTAACAACAACAGTGCTATGAATAGGAAAGAAGTGTCGATGGCAATGACATCATCAACGTTGTTCAGATATTCCAGATCAGATAAGATAAGATCAGCTTACTCAAATCCTTCTAATCACTTTCCCTCCACCATCTACATCCATCTCACATTCACCATCTTACACTCGTAATCAACACCATACCATATATACAGCTATCGCAATGCTTTAACGCATATATATTCATCACCACAACCCCACAACACCCTTCAAAATGACCACCTCACCACCACCACAACCACATCCGCCCGACACAACCACAACCTCACCTCCACCAGACACCACCACCAACGGAACCACCCATGCTCATCCCCGCCCCTCAAAATTCCGCTTCAAAGACCCCTCCCGAAAACGCCATCGCCACCACTCCAATGACCGACCCCGAGACCGACACCGCACTCCCTCCCCCAAACGCAAAAAACACCGCGCCCCCCACCGCCGCAAACACACCACCTCCCCACCACCAGACGCAGACCCCTCCACAACGCGGTTCTCCCCCACCACCGCCTTCCGCGAATCTCTGTTCGACGCGCTCGGCGACGACGAAGGCGCCGCATACTGGGAGTCTGTGTACGGCCAACCCATCCACACGTACTCGGTGCCGGAAGTACCCAAGGGCCCGAATGGCGAGCTGGAGATGATGGACGAGGAGGAGTACGCTGCGTACGTGAGACGGAAGATGTGGGAACGGACGAGGGAGGGGATGCTTGCTGAGGAGGAGAGGATACGGGAGGAGAGGAGGAGGGTGAAGGATAAGGAAAGGAGGAGGGAGAGGGAGAGGGGGGAGTGGGAGAGGGCGGTGGAGGAGAGTTTGAGGAGGGGAAGGGAGAGGAAGAGGAGGCGGGGGTGGAGGGGGGTTTGGGGGAAATATTGTGCTTGTTGGGAGGAGTTGGATGGGCTGGGTAGGGGGGATGAGGAGGAAGGGGGTAAGGGGACGTTTGAGAAGATGGTGTTTTGGCCGGTTGAGAGTGGGGAGAGGAGGGATGTGGGGAGGGAGGGAGTGGAGGAGTTTATGAGGGAGTGCGCGAGGGTTGTTGATGATGAGGATAAGGATGGAGGTGGAGATGGGTTGCTGGGGCTTTTGAAGACGGAGAGGGTGCGGTGGCATCCGGACAAGATCCAGCATCGGTATGGGAAGTTGGGGATTGATGAACGGGTGTTGAAGAGTGTGACGGAGGTATTTCAGATTGTAGATCAGATGTGGAATGAGGAGAGGAAGAGGGGGAAGTAGATACGCTCTTGATGTTCTGTCTGTTGTTTATGATACCCCTACTATGCATTTAGTTTACTGGTTGGTCGTCAACTTTTCGCGTTGCAAGGAAGCAAGCTCATAGATAGATACAACTGATATAACGCGACACGGCTATGCAAGGATAAATGACACATTTCCTGTTCTGTTTCTGTTTCTGTTTCTCTCTGTCTCCACATTCTGCCACATCTAGAACCGCGAGTAGCGGTGCTTGGTGCGGTACGCAGTGTACCCGACATAACCTCCCACAACCACAGCAAAGAACAGAACAGTCTTGAACAAGAACCATCCCCAGCTGCCCTTCTGCTTACGGCGCTTGACACGGCCAGTATCACGGCCCTTGCCCGAGCGGGAAGAGCTGCCACTGCTGCCGCCACCAATGCTGTACAGGTTCTGGGCCTTGACGGAGATGATGTCGTGGTTATCGCTGAGCTCACCAGTCTCGGCAGAGAAGCCCAGGTAGGCAACGGAGGGAATAGCGATGTTGTACTCGGGGGCAGTCAGCTCGAAGCAGGGAATCCAGCTGTCCTCGGACTTGTACTGCAGGTCCAGGGTCAAGGACTTGTCCTGGAAGTAAGTCAAGCGGGCCTTGGTAGGGATGGAGGCACCACGGAGACCACGAGCCTATACCAATAGTTAGATCAACATTCATAGCACCTCTACACACTATACTTACAGAACAGCCCGCCAGTTCATTGGCCTTTCCATCGTGAGCCTGGTCGTAGGTAGTCTGGCCATCGCCCATCATGGCCATGACGTAGGGGAACGAAGTGCCGGGACGGTTGTTCTTGTACGTGTCAAAGAAGATACCCAGACCCTCAAAGTTATCCGTCGAACCGAAGACAGGGCCCTGGGTGGCGCGCTGCTTGGTGAGCCACATGGCGAAGCCATCGCCGTGCAAGTTGCCGGACCCTTCGATCTTGAATTCAACCTCGATCTGCACATATCAGAACGGCCCCGAACCCATAAAAAGGCCTATCAACTAACCTCCCAGTTTGTCGCGGTCAGAGGCACACGAGAAAAGATCCATCCCTGCTGCGACGGGCGATCGGACGTAAGACGGATGTATCTAAGATGTTGTTCAGCATAAGCTCACACCCATCTAACCACAAGACAGGCGAACATACTTGTCGGCGCGAATTATCGTGTCACCACCAAAATCGAACCAGCGGCTTTGGAAGTCGGAATCCAGATATGGCTGCGAAATGACATTAACATGATGCGCAAGCATAGCTGCAGCTATAAGCGACCCACCGGTGAAAGACTGTGCGTGCGAAGCTATCCCGAGACCAGTTAGCAGACCATCCTATAACCTATGACAGCAGCATACACACCGGAATGCTCTTGACATTGTCATCACCATCGTAGGCGCTGGCCAGAGGCACGCTGGCCAAGCCAGCCCAGCACAAAAGGGACGAAAGCCGCGGAAGTAGCATGATTGACGAGTAACAAGCGCACAGTAGACCTTTATGTAAGGCTTAAGCCAAGCGACCGTGCAAGAAAGATAAGTGTTGGGGTGAAAGATAGACTGCAGCTAATAGATCGGGCGATATAAGTCAATTGTCACCGGGACATCAACAAAACCAAGGGTGAGCGGGGGGTTTCAATTGAGTAAATAGAAGAGTAGATCCGGGAAATGGAGGTGTGGAGGAGGATAAATGAAAGAACGAACACCGGGAACTTAGATCAAAGAAGAAGAAGCGGAGAGGAAGAAGAGGAGGGGACAGATCAGAGATCGACGCAAGAGAAGCAAGCCGAGTATAATAACCAGCTAGCGATGGGAAGTGTAGAACTCCAAGTGTCCACATCGCCGGGCGGTGGCGCAGCAACCTTACTTTCCTGTCCTGTGGCACACCAGCCACACCTCCGTCGGAGCTCAAAAGATCTTGTCTCATCACTGCTATACTGGCATACTACTGCATCCATTTACCACTGCATTCTCCCACAACCACGATTATAATTACTCTATACGCACACTTACACAAATAAATTCACAATGGGTATCTTCGGCGGCTCTTCTTCCCCCTCCACCGACGCCTCCAGCAAGGAAGTCAAGGAGGCCCTTTTCAAGCAAGTCCAGGCCGAATCCGCCATGAGCAACGCCCGCACTCTGATCACCGTATGTTACTTCATCCTTTTTCAGGAGTTTCATTCAAGATTGCGCTGACCATTCTATCTGCCATCTAGAACGTCAACGAACACTGCTTCGAAGCCTGCGTTCCCACTCCCGGAACGACCATGTCCGCCGGCGAACAGGCCTGCCTGACCGACTGCATGGAGAAGTACATCGCCTTCTGGAACACTGTTAGCCGGACATACACCCGTCGCGTGGGCACCGAGCAGAAGAAGATGCTTTCGCTGTGATTTGCTGCCATATATTCTTCTTCGTTGATATCCGTGCTGGTTGGGAGTGGTTGGATTTAGGCGGACCACTTCTCTTCCATGTGTTTGGCCACGTGTTGATCTGATCTAGAGGTGTTTTTGACCGGTATACCTTGGTGTGATATGAGGCAGTGGCCATTGGTGTGATGATCTTTGTGTATATTACGGACGGACGGTTTTGGTTCGGGCAGCCGGTGGCGTTTTGAAAAGACAAGAGCCTTGAATGGCAGGCTATGCTTATGATACAGTTGAGGGACCAGCGTCCACTTATCCAAGACTACTTTTATTGCAATGGCCAAATCGAATATGTACATTATACAACTGCCGCCACAGGGACAGGGAAAGGCATAAACGGAAAGATGACATCAAGAATGACCCAGAGTAGCTCCCCAGTATTTGCACAATATGACTATAGAATAAGCAGGAAACATTGAAGAAAGAAACGGGTGCCGCTGGTGACCATTCACCAGTCAACGGTCGGCATAATCACGAGAAACCCCCGAAGCTTCCGGCACAAACACCACCGCAAACACCCTCCTGCCTGGCATAACGCGAGGAAATATAGACAATGCCCACCTAGATAAAGATCACCGGGAAAATCATCCACTCATCAGATCTCCCCAGAGCTCATATAAGGGTAAGCTTATATGCAGACCACCAACAGTCCGGATACCGGAAAAGCAGATAGATAAGACCATAGCGTATACTTGAAAGATGGTGAAAGGCATACGCTGAGAATGACAGAGCTCTTAGATATATGCTCTACGTCAAAGGTAGCCAAAAAAGCAAGTCGGCCAGCGATCAAATAACGAAGACAAACCGACGTCAAGGGGAACTCAACGAATGATGGGTGTGGTGCTACCTTTGGTAGCACAAAGGGTAAGGATTAGCGAGATAGTCCTGTCTTACAGGGCTCGCAATATCATCGGATGACACGATGCCATCTCGGTAGCGAGACAATCATTCCATCATAACTCATAGCACACACTAGAAGTCTGGGAACAAATGGCCGTGTCTGCAAGCAGCGTCAGTAATGTGACCCACCACGCGTTATTAGTAAATGGGAAAGATAGCACATACGGGTCTTCACCAGCCATGCCATACTGTTCAGTTTCTTCCGGATAGCGGTCATACTGACTCGCATCTCCTTGGCCACCACGGATGGGGGGCACGTAAGGAGCGTCGATATCCTTGCGGGCCAAACGGTCCCAGGTGACCTCGGCAAACCAAGGATGATTCTTGACATCATCCGAACCGCCATGGAGGTTTCCAAGACGTTTGGTCAGATCAGCCGTGATCAGTTGCGACAGCAGATCAACGGCATCCGGGTGCAGGTAGGGCGGGTATTTTACCCTGCCACGCAGGATGTTCTCGTAGATCTTGACTGGGGAGCCACTGTCCCAGAAAGGCGTGAAACCACACAGCATCTCGAAGATCAAAATCCCCAGAGACCACCTTTCGCATCATTAGTAACCTGCGCCAAAGGGACATGAACATCAATAATGGCAACCCTTACCAGTCAACCGACTTGTTATAACCCTTGGAGGAAACCACCTCCGGGGCGAGATAATCGGGAGTACCACAAAGGGTCCATGTGATGTCAGGCACCTCCTTGGCAAAACCGAAATCGGTGATCTTCAAATGGCCGTGGCGGTCTAGCAGCAAGTTCTCGGGCTTGAGATCCCGGTAGATGATGTTCTGCGTGTGCAGGTACTCAAGGGCAAGAGTGACTTCCGCCGCATAAAACTTGGCGACGGGGTTGGGGAACCGCTACATGAAAGAGGTACCAGACATCAGCTTTACGTTGGTCGGGCGGGCCAAGTCAGAATAACCCACCTGTGACTTGCGGAGCAGACTGAAGAGTTCACCACCCTCTACGAAGTCCATGACCATGTACAAGTTCCGGGAATCCTGCCATGTACCCCATAATGTGATTAAGAATGGATGTCTGACGCGATTCAGCATTCGGCGCTCATCGTTGGTGTGCTCAATCTGCTTCATCTTGACCACTTGCGCCTTCTTCAACACCTTGACAGCGTAGAAGCGATGGTTGTGCTTCGACTGGACCAAGTGCACGCGACCGAAGCTACCGGTACCCAGGGTGCGCTGAAGGCTGAAGTCATCCAAGGAGTATTTCCCTTTGGTGGTGCGGGCATCACTGCGACCGGCATGGTGAGATTGCGTATGACCACTGGAAGCCGAATGCATGGCGCCTTGCTGGGAGGGGTTAATTATATTCTGTATACTAGCCGCATTGGCATTGGGCTGCGGGAGGCCAGAGGTATGATGGGCAGACGGCGAGGCTTGCGTCACAGCGGATTGCATGGAGGCTACCTGACCGTCGGAGGATTTTTCTGCTCCCGAAGACCGATTGGACTGTTGAGGCACGGATTCTTGAGGCTGAGAGGGGGTGTTTGCTGCAGAGCCAGAATTGGTGGCGGGTTGGGGTTGATGGTGGTGGTGGAAGAGGTGATGGTGGTGGTGGTTGTGGTTGTGGTTGTGGTGGTCTTCGGCAGCGTTTGGTGACGTCTGCGTCTGGGCCGAACCGGCTTCAAGCTCTTTGGAGAGGGTCTGCGAATCTTTCGTTCGCCGTTTCTTCAGCAAACCTCCTAAACTAGGCATGGAGAACACGCTGCTGTGGGCAGTAAATTTAAAATGATAGAGCAGCCCACGATGGTATTATCCACGTGGGAAAAAGGGAGGAAAAAGGATGCGTGCGATAGCAGATCAACGCGACCCCTCTTTAAGAGATGCTCTCAGAGAGGGGGGGGTGGGAAAGGAAGCAACACAGTAAGAATAATATGGAGAGGGAAAGCGGCGAGCTTTTTCTCTTGGGACGGGTTCGGGCGCGGATACAGCGGAGCCCCCAAACAGAACAGAACACTGGTCCCGAACGGCGGTCAACGGAAACTCAATTGGACAGACGGGCGACCGTGAGGATGTCCGGATAAGAAGGGAGAATGTGTAACGCGGGGGAGTGCGGGAATCTCGTAGGATGATAGCTTGGACCCGGGGGGGGGGGGGGGGGGGGGGGGGGGGGGGGGGGGGGGGGGGGGGGGGGGGGGGGGTGGGTGGTGAGAGTATGGCTGGTGTGCGGGAGGATCGATGATGATGCTGATGATGCTGATGGTGAGGGGGAGAAAGAGAGGAGAGGAGAGGAGAAGAGATGAGAGGGGAGGGAAAGAGATGCTGCTGTGACCAGCACCACCACTACTACTACTAAACCAACTAGCTGAAAAACACTACCAGCACAAGCACCGCAATTATTTATCCTATTTCATTATAATTATTTTTGATTAGTTTGATGGAGAAAGAGAGAGAGTGGAAAAAATGGAAAAAAGGGAAAGCAAAGGGAGAGAAGAGGCGGGGTTGGATTGGCGTGAATTCGCATGAATTGGGCCTAGCGGAGAGTGACAAGAGTCAGTTCAGTCAGTTCAGTCAGTCAGCTGCCTCTCTTTTTTGCAGATACATCTCTATCTATCAATGGAACATAGTACACTAACTACTACTCTTTTCTTCCCAATGCGCTTATTCAAGGTTACAACTTCTCCACGCATCAAAGCAAGTTGATACGCAGCAGCACCTCACCTTTCCTCCGTCTAAAAGCGGTCGGCCAAAGTCGAAGAAGCTATGCTATCTCCATCACCACTTAACTAAACCACCACTACCACCACTTGTCCGACTCCACCCCAACGCTAAAACATACTTTGTCTGGGCCAGTATTTTCCCACACAGAAACACTTTCCTCCAGCAGTCAGTCAAATACGATCATAGTAGCAGTGGAACCAACCATAAATCATCCATATCATGACATTGGAATAACCGAACCAGTCTCTTTCACTTCCCCAGATACCAAAGTTGTGTTGCAACTCTGCTTAAGGCGAGGAAAAAACCCACCGGGTCCAGCCGATCTCAGCCTCTCGATCCATGGGACCCTTCAATTGCTACATTATCATCAATGATGCATTCTTCCTTTCTTCGCTTATCGAGATCCATGTTCCCAACGATTTCCGGGTTCAGATTCGCCCCGATGAGGTCATCATCGAACACTGTTTTCAGATCGTGGCTTGAATTCCGAAACGAGAGCCTCCTTGTTAGACACTACTTAGTGCCTAGGTATGAGAGGCTGGGAGATGAAACTGCCGGTGCAACCACTCTCCGTGGTTTTTGCACGGCTTGGTATATCTACAGTACCTATCTGCGGTATACTGTTTAGACTGTCGCTAAAAAGACCCGAACAACATGCATGTTGGGCAGCTGGCAGCTGGCAGCACAGGTTGCCTTGTTAACCAACTAACTAACTAGTTAGTCAATTAGGGAATTGCTTACCGCTGAAGATGACTTCATCACCGCCCGGGTGGATCCAAAAGCCATCGAGTGGAAACCGCCCCGCCTTCGGGGGATTTGGGCTGCCTGGTCGAAGCCAATCAAGCTGCCCCCTGACCGGCCAGGAATTCCCCCGTCCGGCAGCCTCCTGGTTGGTCGGGAGGCTTGACTACTACTCTTGTACTAACTCTGTCTGAATTGATCTCGACGCTTGCATCCACTTACCTACCTTAGCACCCTAGATACACAGTTAGTGTACACGCTACGGATGGGATGCGCACCGCCACTACCTACTATCTACACGTACTATTATCCTCGCGAGGTTTTGAAAAGAAAGAAAAACAAAATCTGTTCCAATTGTTGTTGTTTCCCCTGTAGCCTGGCTCCATGCTGCTGCAAACTTCAAATCCAAACCGAAATCTGTCCTGCCTATGTACTCCTACCTAGTAGCAAAGATCGCAACGCCGCCCTTCCGATGGTCGGAGGGCTCGCTTTCGCCCTCTGGGTTTTTCATGAAACAGCAAGCAAATAAACAATATGATGGAGGCGTCCCTTAGATGCGATAATGCGCCATGTTCTTCTTGATCTCATCCACGATCTCCACCGCTTCAAGCGCATTGCGCGCCTCGAAATCATACCGCTTCTGCTCGTTGGCATCGTTGCCGCGCAACACCACCACGCGGAAATTCTTCGGGTGTCGCCGGCTCACCTTGCATCCCACAACATCGTTGAAGCTGATCGACCGCGT